GCAGAGCTATACGTTTGAATTATTTCAGAAATCTCTCAGTCAAACATGCTAAATCATGTTTAAGTGGAAGCTAGCGAGCTAAAGTCCTGCTAACTTCTAATTCCATTAAATGTCATAAATTCCGTTTTCATGGATGCCTGGAAGTTAAACTTCATAGTTACACCTGGTAAAGCAGCAATGCTGATCATTTTATTAAAGATGAAAGAATTTAGACATTTTTAAATCTCAGTGATACCGCAGTGTTTGTTTGACTTTGGGACCTGAAAAGACGGAGTTTAGGACCCAGATTACTTCGCGAGGCTCCTGATCACTGTAGCCATTATGCTCTGAAAATCCATCAAGTGGTGCGGCTTCTTAGCTTACCAAAGTCGTATTAAAACATTTTTTGACAGATTTTTAAGTGCTGTGTACCACATAAAATCGGTTTGAGATCAGTAAGCACAACTAGAATTCATACATAAGGCGCACTGTTGATTTTTGAGGAAATTAAAGGATTTTAAGTGCGCCTTGTGGAAAGTACAGTAGTTAGTAATTATCATTTTATAGTAGTGTGTATTCAAATATGGGAATTTTTAAGAGAGCTTGAACTTTTTTTTTGTATTTTAGCCAATACTTAGAATCTTTTCTAAATTCCTTTTGATGAAAATAGAAGTGATGAAAGACAAGTAATAATTTCAGGCTTTTATCTGTAATAGTCTTTGGGCCATTCATGTTCCAATATTGTCTCCGATTTCAATATGCCTGAAAATGAGTGGATGGACCATTTTTCTAAAAACATATATCTTGAAAAGTATTTGATATATGAAGCAAATATTTCTCAGCAATAATTATTTGGGTCTCAGAAATAAACAATATGTTCATATTTAACATAATAATTTCATTTTTTCACCATGTGGAGATTCCAGAATTTTATTCTGTTTGGACACTTTACCAGTGTTTGTGATTTTCTGCTACAACTTGTCATATTTACTTGATCCAAGTTGAGTGAAAAATGGCATTATCTTAATTTTTGTGACTATGAATTTTATGTTCAAAAAATATTCTACATGCTTTATTTGGCAGTATTGTTAAATTCAACTATATACCATTAAAAAAGTGTCACTCATGTGTGTGTGTGAAGTGTTTTATTAGGGTGCGCTCAACATTCACTTTGCACAAGGGCTTTAATTAATTTTTCAGATTTTAATCATTAGGCATGTTTTAATATATCTGTCCAAAGAAAACTTTCAGGCTGTTATCTTTAATAGATGTTGTGATATTCACGTTCAAACATTGCCTCAGATTTCAATGTGTGAAAAAATGGTCAAAGTAGGTCGGCAGGCAGTTTCACAAAACATTATGTGCTGGACAGTATTTGATATATGAAGCCAAAATCTTGCAGCAATCATTCTGTGTCCAGACTTTGTGCCATAACATTTTTTTGCAAATTGGAAATGGTCACGCAGAAGGCCTGTGCTGATTTGAGACCTCTCTGTAACTTGTTATAATGGATGATGGTCAAAAGGTTCTAACACGTGAATGATGCAGTGAATGACGTTCAGGTTAGTTGATGTTTTCACTCAGGAGTGTGCCTCCTTTCAGCCCATCACAGCAGCTGCACCATCATTTGCAAAGTCAGCAAACCTTGCTCATATTTTTTTTCAGAGACAGTCTTCATAACTGCATGTTGTGGCAGACAGCAGAGCTGTTCCATGACTGCAATTTAACAAGCTGAAAGAAGAAGCTGCAGAACTCACTTTTGTAGGGAATTCTGTGGTCAGTGATCAGGCAAGTGTTTGACACACAGTAGGAATAGTTATAGTATTTATTATGAGTCTCCTAATGCTCTGAATCCAGTTCTTTCTCAATCATTTAGTTGATTGTAGTTTTTCAGAAACAATGGTCATTAGTGGCTTACTGGAATATTGAAATAAAAGTCGGATCTGGTGTCAGTGGCAGTGTCATCTGTCACTGGTGACGAGTTCTAACTATGAAAGTCAGTTTACGATTTTAATTTTGTTGTAGACTGTTTTAAGATGCAAATCTTTTAAATCCCCACTGGAGACAAAAATAATAATTTAGTGGGGGAGGAGTGGATGGGCATGTAGACACTGATAAATGGAATCACAAAATAACATGTCATGGAAATGTTAAACATATAAGCAAATGTTTAGCAATAATTAATTACTTCACTGGATTAATAATTAAATGTGTGAGCTCTTCTCTCTTGTCGCTGGTGGCAGGCACTAAAAAAGGAAAAAAGAGTTCATCCACCTGATTACCTCCACCTGAGCCTCAGCCTCCTTGGCACTGCCCCTCAGACACCACACCCCTGCCACAAGGCCATTGCCAGTTTCCGGTTATCTTAACCCTGATCCCTGGGAGGTACCTGTAATGGTATACTCTGGCTCTCTTCCACAGCGTGTCTTTTGTCCTGTCTCCCCAACCAGTCATGGTAGATGGCCCCGCCCCTCCCTGAGCCTGGTTCTGCTGGAGGTTTCTTCCTGTTAAAAGGGAGTTTTTCCTTCCCACTGTTGCCAAAGTATTTGCTCATAGTGGGTCATATGATTGTTGGGTTTTTCTCTGTATGTATTATTTTATTGTAGGACTGTGCCTTGATGCAAATGATGTTGTGATTTGAGGCTGTATAAATAAAACTGAACTGAATTAATTAAATTGATTAGTACAATACTACCCTTTTACTGTGCACCCTTTCACTTACATAAGGCACAACCATGTTGTGGATATTAAACAGAAGTAAACAGAGATAACCTTAAATAGTGGCAATTGGGGAAAAAAAAGTTCTGCTATCAAATCATGCCCATCTATATTTTTCTGTGACAGCTGGAAAGATAGTATATTGGGGTAGGTTTAAAAAGATTTTAGTTTGAATAAAACGATATTATTTCATAAAATCCTGAATCGATTTTTAAATATAAATGTATTTTGCCAGAAATGCCAGAATCTCAGGTTAAAGCTCACAAAACTGTGTCAACAACCACCAAACAACACAAAGCGTGGATCGTTCTCCCGACGGCACGTACACAGAAATGCCATCAGGTGCTGAAAGCAGACGTCTCATAGATTCTGAAGCTGCAGGTTTCATCACTCTGACCAAAATTCACTGAACCAGCAGCAAACGAAGATCCAAACTACGCTTCACGTTTGAGAAACATTGTCATAAATTACCTCTGACTTTGGCTTTTACTTCCTGCACAGCTCTCTCTCAGTGTACTCAGTGACCAGTTTACCATCAAAATTTCTGTTTTCTGCATTATTTGCTTGCTTCTTACACACCGGTCTACTGTTTTGTACAGCACCGTCGCCCGCTGTTTCTTGGTTGTTGTGGGGGTTTTTTTCAAAAATGACCTTGGACAAGAAAAGCTTCATTTCTGCTGTTCAGTACTGAAAAAAACTTTACAAATGATGCTAAATTGCAAAATGCTTAGCTGTGTCTCTAATCAGACCTCTATAACTTTGCTCGGCTTCACTTCAGCAGCATCAGGTAATGTTCATATGTTGATATTGTTCATGGTTTTCTTCCCTTTTTCTATCTACTGAAGATTATCTGCTATAAAACGCCAGGCTAGGAAAGTCTTCTTCATGTTGTTCTGAGTTTTATCCTCACTTACTTTGACACAGAGGCCTCTGATGTGATGCTCACACCTCTGATGAAGTCTCACAAGTGTCAGCGTTGTTTTTACACATAGATATAAAAACATGGACATGTACTGATAAATGATCAGAATTATAATATTTCTGACTGACTGAGTCAAAATAGAACTGAATCTAATCAGTTACAGAAATCGAAATTGATACCCAACCCTGATAGTACATATAGTACTCTAAATCTGATAATCAAATCCATTAGTGATTAGTTCACATTATCGGTTATACAAATGGTGTGCTATTACAAAAACAAAAGTCCATTTTTGCAGAACTCCATTCCTTTTTTTCCCCTTCTTTAGCTGTTTCATGCCGAAAGCAGGATGGTGGACAAGCAGACATTGAAGCTTGTCTTAAGTTTGCTAGCTCCATGCCATCTCTCACCCAACCCTGTCAGGTGCCCTGCCAGGAAGACTGTCAACTCAGCAGCTGGTCCAAGTTTTCTTCCTGTACAGCAGATTGTGTGGGTGTCAGAACCCGCAAAAGGATGCTAGTAGGTGAGTCGCCGACTTCCAGAAACTTTAGTGTTAGTTCAGCAGATGTAAAAACATATTGTTACTTTTCTGTGTGTGAAGGTCACCACATTGAACCATTCACTAGTGGAAAATTCTTATAGATGATAACCGTTTATCTTTTGCTGTTTCTGCAGGGAGAAGTAGAAAGCATGACCAGTGTAAAAACAACCAGCTGTATCCCCTAAGTGAGACCCAGTACTGCCCATGTAATAAATACAATGCCCAGCCTGTAGGCAACTGGTCGGACTGTATCCTATCCGAGGGTGGTCGCATGGAGGGTCAGCTTGGCATGAAGATACAAGGTGACATCAAAGAGTGTGGCCAAGGGTACCGCTACCAAGCCATGGTGTGCTATGACCAAGACAACAGGATAGTGGAGACTTCTCGATGCAACAGCCACGGTGAGTTTTCTGTGAATGAATAACTAAATCTGACCCCAAGGCGTCACATTAACACCGTTCCCCGCAGAGCAGGGGTCTCAAACTTAAATGAGCTGTGGGCCACTGCTAACACTGTCATCTCTTTGGAGTGCCACTTTAGTGTTCAGGTAGTACAAAAAACTAACCAAACAAACAAGAAAACACCCACAAATATTTCTGAAAATGTAGATTTTTTTTTATTTCAAATATTATATAACAAGACAAAACTGCAAATGTGAACACAGTTTTTTTCCCTCCCTCTTAACAAACTGAAGCCTTTCATTGAACTACCAAATAAACACATTGGCCAGACACGTAACAGCACTTCTGCTATCATTTTATTGGTATTTAACTAAATAAAATGACAACTGAATGCTACTATCCACCTGTGCCTTAGAAATATGTGCAAAACATCACTGAATTGAAATGGATTTCACAGCTCTGGGGAAGAAGCTGTGTCTCAGTCTGGTATGTTCGTATAACGCTTTCCAGAAGGAAGCAGTATAAACAGTCCATTGCCAGTGTCAGTGGGGTCTGCAGCAATATGTCTGTCCCTTTCTTGGATCTGTCCAGCATACACTGAGTCCAGATGTGGAAGTGGACTTCCCACAATCCCTTGTGCTGTTTTCACCTCTGCTGCCGTTTCTACGTGACAGGGTTACAGCTAAATGTTAGCTGCAAGATATATATGTTTGCATCTGCTGATTATTCTAAAGACAATGTGATTAAGTGTTCAATCAGTGAAACTGTGTAAATTGTCTTGGTTGTCATATAGACAGCCTATGTTACTGATTTGCATGCTTATGTGACCTCTGTGTAGTGTCTTCTCTGGTCTGCATTCACAACAAAAAGGCAACAGGTTAGAATGCTTTCATTTATTGTCGTGGGCAGTCAGCGTAAAGACCTCGCAGGAATCCTCCATTATTCTGAGGACGAAATAGAAGAACCTCAACACAATTAATCTGCATCTTAAATTTCCCAAATGAAAGGAACACAGAAATGTATTTCAGAGCTGTACATAAAACAATGAGTATTCTCTAAACAGTGTGGCACAGTCACATTCCTGCATTCACAACAAAAAGGCAACCAGTTAGGATGCTTTCATTTATTGTCGTGGGCAGACCTAAATGGAAAAGCAACAACAGCGTTAGCTAACTATGCTCCCGTGTTTTTTTCTCTCTCTTCCCAATAAAGAAATCTCACATAAATGTGCATCAATTCAACATAAGGACTGGAGAAATTACCCACAACAAATGATGTTTAAACAACAAAAATAATCGCGTCAGATTGTATTACTGTTACAACCTGCGATATGATTTTTCTTCCCCACGACATTTGCGCATTCCTTACTTTGCAGGAATCCTCCATTATTCTGAGGATTACCCAGAATCCCTTGCCCTTTGTGAATGTTGCAGGGTGACCTTTACAACAGTAAGTGGTGCCAATGTCCCATTTAGCGGGATTTAACTTCAACTCTATTTGACTATGTTACACTTACCTCACACAGTACTCTGCAATGAGAGTACTAACCGGTACCAGAAAGAGAAAGAAAGACTATATGTCTCCCATATTGGCTCCTATTCTTTAAATCCAGAGTAAATTTTAAAATGCTTCTCTCCAAATAGAAGGTCTTGAATAATCAGGCCAAGACTTCAAAGTGGCATATCACCCTAATAGGGCACTTAGTTTGAAATGGAGAGACCATACCTTATTGGAAAAGATAGAGAAAAGTAACCATCACAACACAACTTCACTACAACCTCGAAAGTACCTTGTTCTGACTTTATTAGATAGTGAAGTGAAGCAGGCAGCCAAAGCCATACGGCAAATGGCCACCTGCTCATCCCGGTGAGCTAAGCCACCACTATGAAAATACTATGTTTAACCTAAGTTTTTGCACACACATTTAAACACGTGCATAGAGAAGCTGTCGATTTACCAATCAATCTACGTTTCTTCCTCACCCATGGTCACAAAAGAATAGGCTTTAAATACAAGTGACGGATTAGTTTCCTTGAAAAAAAAAATCAAGTTAAGGCGATTCGGTTATCTGACCAGGATGACTCCTGGATCACTTCCAGTTGAGGTGTTTCAGACATGTCTTACCAGGAGGAGTCATTGCTCATTAGTCCATCAGATGGATGGACCATTTTTCACAAACATATATCTTGAAAATGATTGGATATGTGAAAAAATTTTTTTTACAGCAATTTAATATGTCCAAACTTTGGACCATAAGATTTTTGTGCAAACCAGAGATGGTCGAGCAGAAGGCCCACAATAATTTGAGACTGAATGACCTGTATGTCAAATAATAAAAACAGACCATTAAAATCTATGTTGCCATACACCTTCCTAAAACTGTGTACAGCCAAGATGCTGTCAAATATCTTGCTCTACTTTTTTGTTATGTGACTGGTTACAGGGTATATCGAGGAAGCCTGCATCATTCCTTGTCCATCTGACTGCAAACTAAGTGAGTGGTCCAACTGGTCTCGCTGTAGCAAATCATGTGGCAGTGGGGTCAAAGTTCGCTCTAAATGGCTCCGAGAAAAACCATACAATGGTGGCAGACCTTGCCCTAAATTGGACCATGTCAACCAGGTGAGAGAGGGCTCACTTAAAGTGTTATATTCTAGCTTTATACCTATTTTTTTTGGATAATAACTTAAACAATGCTGTTTTCTGTGGTTTCCTTGTCTTCTTTTACAAATGGATTCCACTTACAGGCTCAAGTAAGTAGGCTGCTGCTTTTTGTAATTATTTCATAAAGTTAGTTTTGGTATTTAGTTTTATTATAATGTATGATTTTCAAACTTAAGCAAAACTGAGTGGAAGGATTTAAATTTCCTCTTTGACATCATGCATCTGTGCCTGTAGGGTAACTGGTGTTTTTATGTGCATCAGGTCTATGAGGTGGTGCCTTGCCTCAGTGACTGTGGGCAGTATGTGTGGGTGGCAGAGCCTTGGAGTGTGTGGAAAGTCAGCAATGTGGACCTGAATGACAACTGTGGTGAAGGTGTTCAAACCCGAAACGTCAAGTAAGATGAACAGATTCATGTGTCAGTGTCTTTGAGCTTTAAACAGGTGATATTCTTCCTTTTGGAGGAAAAACAGAGCTGAGTGTTTGCTTGTGCTGAATTGTTAAAAAGTGATCAAAAATTAAAATAGTAGTGCATGATGTTATAACCAATATATACACTATATTGCCAAAAGTATTCACTGACCCGTCCAAATCATTGAATAGAATAGAAATATCCTTTGTTGTCCCTCTTTGGGGAAATTCAGGTGTTCCATCAGCAAAGTGACAGGCAGATGGAGCATGCAGATTCACACAAAAGTAACGAAAGTAAAAAAAAAAAAGAAGAAAAGAAATAAGAGACTGTAAGGGCAAATTTACAACATCCAAAAAAAAAGATTACCATACAGTTAGTAAAAATAGCATACTCAAATTCAAAGAAATGTGAAAGTGAGTAAGATAATCCTTTTAAAAATATACAAAAAGTGCTATATATTTGTGCTTTAAAAAACCTGACAAACTGTTTACAGAAAATGGGAAATGTGTGCAAATAACAGCAGGGATGTGAACAACCCTTGTTGGGAACAATCACTGCTCCCAACAACGTTGTTAAGTGATGACGTGACGAATCCTACTTCCGGGCCTAAAGTAGTCTGTGTTTAATATGGCTTTTGTGTTGTTAACATGTTTAATGTT